CAAAAGGAGGGGGTCAAACTGATCCATATGCCAAAACTAATGAAGAACAAGAATATTGAGACGAGCTTGGACGAAACACAGAAAGAGCTAGAGCAAATTGGGGAACAAAAGCAAGAAGCGTACCATCATCGCTTGCTTACATTCAGCACTATCGGGGGGATTGGGCTCATCTCAGTATTGGGCACTTGCTACGCCCTATGCAGCCGGTCGATGATCACGAGCTCAATCACATGTCTATTTCGGAGTTGTGCCGGCAAAGTCTGCAAATCTATGAAAAAGAAGGAGAAATCAGCTGAGAAAAACCAAATAAAATTGGAACAACCCACCTCGGCATCCCCAGCCGTGATACCAGTTCAACAAGAACAAACGTTCCTAAGGATAAGATCTACACCAGAACTACAGGTAACCCCTGCAGCAGATTCCGACCGTCGCCGACACACACTCGCACTCGAACAGGTTGTCACCCACCCGGTGTCAAATCAGCCGACATCGGTAGTAGCCGCCCACCGTCAACCAATCATACTAGATTATTAGATACTGGAAAAATTATAAAACGATATGTATAGATGTAAGAGGAAAAATTCTCCCTCGAAAATGCAAGTCAAACAAACTTTGGAACAAAAAAAAAGGATTCTAATAATAATGAAAAATAAACAATCGTAACGAGTAAAGGGGAAACTATAAACTTGCATTTCCTAATAAAGAAAAACCATAACAATAATACTAATATACAATTGGGAAAAACCTTCAGATAAAATGAAAAAAAAAAAAATAATAATAATAATAATAAATATATTAATAATAACAATAGTTCAAAAAGGTCATTACCCGCATAGTAGGGAGAGGAGAAATAATATGATACATAAATGAAAATTAAAATTCCAAAAAGAAAATAATTAAAAAGGAAAGATCTCACCAAATTGTTATCATAAAAACCAAAGAACAAACAACAAAATCCAAACAAGGAAAAACACTACACCAATAATTTTACTAATGAAATCAGTCTCACACAACTGACTTATTACAACTGACTGCAGGTATGCGACAATGCAATCCCACACACGGCCGGATATAATACGACCCGGGGTCGCATTACAGCAAGCCAGCAGTCCAGCGTTATCACTCACCTACTGAAACAGAAAAAGAGGCCAACTTACCTGCCTTTAGAAAATTCACTTAAAATAAATTTGTTTTCACATAAATATCCCTTGTAATCCGTGGGTGACGCCTAACGATGAGAAGCGCATCCATATCTTGGCTGCACCTCTCACCGGGGGAATGTTGTGTTTGAAAATATAAAAATATTTGAATATATTTTATAATCAATCAATTATAAATTGACCCATGGCAAAAATATTCTGGAGAATCGAACAATCGAACGCTACGATTTACCAACTTCAAACACGGCCTCATCCACGGAATGTGATGAGCAAGCAGAAATTTTTCGAAATCGCGCAGCAGCATCACACCACCCGAGCATTGACCGCGCGATAAATGATGAAACTCCCGGGCATTCACCGAAATGCACTGAAGGAAAAATCAAAAATCAAGTCAGTTTTGTCCTAGCATCGACGAAGAGCACACAAAGGGGCGAACTCCTCGCGATTGTCGAGTACCTGGTTCCGGAATAAGTTATACCCTTTGCCCGGCTTCTATTTGGTGATCCGAGTATCAGGAATATACTCAATCACAATTATGCATATCTTCATAGTGATTGGTCCAAAAGACAATATTTAAAAATCGAGCTCTAGTGTTATCGGTCCGCGAGTTGAAAAATTACTTGTTGTGCTGGTGCGCTAGTTCACGTGAGATAAGGACTCAAAGAAAAATAAAATAAAGGAACAAGAAATACTACATTCTCAAAAATCTTAACCAATAAACATAATTTCGGAGACGATAAAGTGTATCTGCAAACTCAAAACGTGAGTAACATTCATCCCAGTTAATTTGGCAAAGAGGATTAGTCTTTTCTCTCTCTCCCTTATGATTGTTAGGAACTCGATGTAAATTCACGGTATTAAAGTATCAGATGTAAATTGATAACGGATAGTATCTAATTCTTGAGTAATAAATGGAATCAACTTTTAAATTGCATTTAGCATATATTCTCTCTTTTAATTAGATTAGACTAATACCCTCAATTCCTTATGATTCGACAGATGTGTCCAACACTTTAAAGGTAAGGATCTATACTAAACAAAAATAATTATTTTGTGCTCGGAGGTAATAATTGTGTTCTATTCAAGTAAATATAACCCAATTATTCCATATCTAACAAAATTGGTGTCAGAAGTGGGATGCTTATCTTGCACTATCGTTTCGTCTTCGCATCAGTTTTCTTTTTGAAGTGTATTTGATATTTGATAATTCAATTCAAATTCCACATTTTTCAGATCCCGTCAAAATTTATATTTTTATTATCGAAATATTTTTTGACTTCTCTCATCCATTTTTGAATGTCAAAAAAAAATGAACGTAAATTCTTCAGAGGTTCTCATTTACGAGCAATTTCATCCAAAATAATTTTCTTCAAAATTTTACTTTCCTTTCGATCCAATTGAAAACCCATTTAAATAATTAATCAATTACTTCGGGCTCTTCATTTTGATCGAAAACCAATTATCGAATTTTCCCTACCTTCCCATGCAAAATTCGTTACTATAAATTCTACCAAAGAACTATACCGCATTGCTATTATTTAGAATTTATCCGATTTACACAAAAGTTAAAATACACTCAATATAGTGAAAAGACATGAGTCGCGAAGACGTGTCTAATTTCAAGAGTTCATTGTTCCTCTTAGTCACATTGCATGTTCCTTTTTTTCTCTTTCGCTTATTCGGTATGTGATGCAAAGCCAAAATTATTCAACAATTAAATTGCATTGAAATAATCAAAAAGAAAAATATGCCACCTACTTCTGTTAGTAATTAATATTCTCAAAATGGCTGATTATTCCAAAGAACGTTTAATCAACCCCTCATTCGAAAATATTCCGTATTTCAGTGCACGGCATAATTCCCCACAAGAATTTCTCGATTTTCAAATTTCCGTGTCTACATTTTCGAATAACTATGATCCAAAATGTCATCGGTTTATTACCGCATTCTTGGAGAAGATCGACTATCCAGCTAGGTCATATTTACGGTCGCCTCTCAATTCCATCCATAATATCCTTGACCATCTAAATACAGTGTATGGAGTGACTTATCTCCCGGACATTTACGTAGATTCAATTGACGAACTTCACCCGCGTAGTTGTGAAAATTTGCCTGATTTTGTGCTGCGTTTGCAAGTACTGGTACGCCACTCTGAGCACTATATGACATGCGATAGCCCTGACGAATTTGAATACGAGCTATCTGTTTTGAGAAGTCTTTCCATTGCAAAATTGAGATTCACCCTCCCCCGCGAATACCCCATTCACTTGATCTTCCGCAGAGGCAAAACTTTCCGTAATGTTCACGACGAGATATTAAACATTTTCCACCAAATTTGATCGAACCAAGATCACACTTTCGAGCATCATGGTGATATTAATTATGGTGTTGGAATTGGTACTGCCGCGCGTGTAAAATCTCATCTTTCCACCCAAAATGAAAATTCGTATATACCACGCGAGTTTTCCCCACCAATACAATTGTCGATTGACAAAGATCTTGACGCAGTAGAAGACATTCAATTTCTGTTCGTCCAGAGTGAGAACATTTTACCACCTTTGAAATACGCAGAAATACACTCTCTTTCACCTCAGAATTTTGAAGGTCTCCAAGAAGAAGTAGTTCAAGCACATTATGAAATATCAAGTGAAGAGTCACTTCCCAATTTTCCCATCCTATCACAAGAAATAATTCATTACGATGATGAAATTCTAGTCCAAAATTTTACTCCCTATGAATCTGACAAAAATTCCACGACTGTACTTACCGGGGGGGAAGCTACCCTGAGTGTCACACGTAACAATTTTCTCAACAGAAAAGATTCAGACAAAATCAAGATACCTATTCAATCATTCTATCCAAATTCATTATTCATTTTGCCACAATCTTCTAAATTGATCCAGAAAATTCTGCTTCAAATTTTCGATCCATCGTGCAAAATCTCATGGGATTTCCTTGCATTCAATAATCAAATTACTAGTTCTCTTATATGTAAACCATCGATTCGATAATTGGAACTCCACAAGAATTTGTTCGATGGCTATCGATCGAAAATTTCAATTGGCTCTCAAAATTCAGTTCATAACGATTTCATTATAAATGAAAAATCCCATTGGCTATTTGAAATACCCTCAAATTCTTTGTACTATGATAACAAAATTTTTAATTTTCCGAAAAATCCATTATTATTCAATTTCCTAACCGCAGTTGCAAAGGGGGACGTCACCTTGACTCCCATCCCAAGTAATCAAAATTTTATTGATAAACAAACCAAGAATGAAATAACAATCAAATCCCCTGAGCCTAACAACTGTATTTCGCTCTTAAAATTATACAAAATGATCGGGAAAATTACAAATGAAAATTTCGATCAGTCTTTTAAAATTTCCTGGAATCCTAACAATGATTCGACATCTTCAGGACCTGATCCACTAATCGATCAATCACTGTCAAGTACTATTCAATTCTTGGTCAGTTTGACCTATGGAAATGATCTAAAAATTAATCGATATGCACTTAGTCGAACAAGTAGAAACACGAATCGACTAATCTCGGAACAGCAAAATTGTAAAGTATATTTATTCAAAATTACTAATTCAAAACGCCATGTTTTCGAGTACGAAAATTGCTATTCAACCAAAATTCACGTATGAATGCTTTACCGTCAAATCGACCGTTGGCTATGTCACAGGATTCCGGAACAGAAAGAAATAACAATGGGAACCAAATTTGAAAAATGCCAGTCTTTAAATGGAATTTTTTTTATATTCAAAATCATTCTAACTATTCGAAACAGTTTTATTGCACATAATTTGCCTTACAAATTCGTTGACCGTTTCAACAAGCGGATTAGAAACAGAAGAAGAGCACAAACATCAACCCGCAGGAGGAACGAGCCGACCCATCAATGGCCGAACATCACGGAAATACGCCTGCCGAGCATTCCAAGCACCGACAATCCGCCGGCGTTCCTCGAAGATGCCCGGACGAGTAAGCATGAGGAGTTGCAGGGCACCATCAGTGATGGAGTCGATGTGCTGGTGAAAGTACAGGAGGACGGAGAAACTCCCATCCTCGGGACCCAAGTACCTGAGGAACCCCTCATACCAAGTGATGGAGGATTCACGCCACTCTTCGATCTAGGAAGAAAAATAACAAAGGGAGATCAACGAAGGCGTAATTCAAGATTGGAAAGAATAGAGATGGGGACGACCCTATACTCACTGACAGATAACACGGATCCCAACGCGTAGCCAAGAAAGAAAGCAGGTACTCATCAGGGATTCCAGCACGCCGAGACACACGGCCGAGAACATTAGTTCCCTCGAAGATGATCCGGAGATCGTCTCTCTTCTCGTCCCACCACTGGAGCCAATCCAACTCCGCTCCCTCGACGAAGAGCCCTTCAAACTAGGTCGGAAAAGGGAACCGATTAGCAATGTTGCACTCCAGGAGCCAGGAAACCAGGGAAGGGAAAGAATACTCACGTTTGAATCCATGACACAAAAGTTACCACACTGGATGAAACGCGAAGTGAAAATGAGAGTTGCCAGGCGAGTTCAGCAATCCAGCGGAAATTTGAATCCGAGGTCGCACCGTAGAAATATTCGTGTAAGGTCCGGAGAAAGAGGGTGCCACAACAGATAGATCCGGCACTACAAAACACCACGGGCGCTAGGCAAGAGAGCACGGCACTAGGAGGTGTACGCGCACAAACCAACGGAGGCGCGATGACCAACGGAGGCGCGGAATTTCAAACAACAGGAAGAGCGGAGAATCGCTCAAAGTAGGGACTAGTAGCGCAAATATTGAAGGAGCATAGTCAAAATTGCTTGTAATCCTTGGATGATGGCCAGTTCAGCGTGAAAAGTCCATTCATGGAATGAATGAACTTGTCACGGGGGGATGTTGTGTTTGAGAATTCAAAATTTAAAAAAGAATTTATTTTCTTTTCATTTCGAAGCGAGCAAATAAATCGCATTGATTTCCCAATTCTCCACACGGCATCATCCACGGAATGCCCTGTCACCAGGTATTATTTCGAAATGCCAGTGAATCAGCAGCTCGGCCAATGCACCCGGACATTGATCGAACTGCAGCCTATACCGATTCCGGAATTATTAGTCAGTCTCGTCCTAGCTTCATCAAGGAACGTACAAAGGGGACGAACTCCTCGAGATTGATTGATACCTGATTCCGGAATCAGTTAAATTCTGTCTGCCCGGCGCTTATCGTCTACTCGGGTATTTTGGGATTATCATTGATCACAACTACGCACACCTTCGTAGTGATCAATCCCACGTTATTATAAATAATCTAACTCTTCCCGGATCTGGCAAACGAGGTGCGAAATAACTCGGTCCCGTTCTTCTCAAGTGGAGTTTCGTGCAAGGACACATTCAACCTTTTCATCAATTATTTTTGTTAAGAGGACGACGCGGAGATCACTGTCGTGATAAGGATAAGACTACGCAATTGTAAAACGAGTGAATGTATGAGTGTGAGTGTTGAGCGGAGGAGGTGTAAGTAGTTATTGTATTTTGGCCATTGTTATCATTTTCGAGTCTAGTATCATTAAATTGGTTTTCTTTCATTTTCTTTATTATTTCCCTGATCCCGAGGACTGAATAGCAAGCGCAGATGTGCCCAGCACTTTAAAGTATAAGGATCCATACTAAACAAAAAATAATTATTTTGTGCTCGGAGGTAATAATTGTGTTCTATTCAAATAAATATAATCCAATTATTCCATTCCAAGATTAAGTGATGAAAAAAGGGCAATTCGATGGAGAATTAAATTCTCCATCAATTAACCCTCTTTCCTCCCTTAAACTTTGTAACAAAAAATATAAACTGCCATGAAACTCAGGGGCCAGTAAGAAAAATAATTCTTTGGCAGCGCACACTGACTTTTCACTATTCGCCCGCGAATTAAAAGTTCACCTTTCCCTTCCTAATTGAGATTAAGGGATGAAAAAACGGCTGTGCGACGGAGAATTAAATTCTCCATCAATAAACCCTCTTTCATCCCTTAAACTCTGTAACAAAAAAATAAAAACTGCCATGGAAGTCATGGGCCAGTGAGAAAAATAATAGTTTCGCGGCGCACAGTGACTCCCGGTAATTAAAAATTCACTTCTCCCCTCCTCATTGAGATAAAGGGATGAAAAAACGGCAGTTCGACGGAGAATTAAATTCCCCACCAATAAACCCTCTTTCATCGCTTAATCTCTGTAACAAGAAAATATAAACTGCCATGAAACTCAGGGGCCAGTAAAAAATATAATTCTTTCGCGGCGCGNCTGACTTTTCAACATTCGCCCGGTAATTAAAAATTCACCTCTCCCCTCCTCATTGAGATTAAGAGATGAAAAAACGGCAGTTCGCCGGAGNACTCATGGGCCAGTAAGAAAAATCATTGTTTCGCGGCGCACGGTGACTTTTCACCATTCGCCCGCGAAATTCACTTCTCCCCTCCTAATTCAGATTAAGGGATGATAAAAAGCCAGTTCGACTGAGAATTAAATTCCTCATCTACTGCCCTTTTTTCATCCCTTAATCTCAATTAGGAGGGCNTCTCCCCTCCTAATTGAGATTAAGGGATGAAAAAAGGGCAGTTCGACGGAGAATTAATTTGCCCATCAATTAACCCTCTTTCATCCCTTAATCTCTGTAACAAAAAAATAAAAACTGCCATGAAAGTCATGGGCCAGTGAGAAAAATAATAGTTTCGCGGCGCACAGTGACTCCCGGTAATTAAGAATTCACCTCTCCCCTCCTAATTGAGATTAAGGGATGAAAAAAGGGCAATTCGACGGAGAATTAATTTGCCCATCAATTAACCCTCTTTCATCTCTTAATCTCTGTAAGGAAAAAATATAAACTGCCATGAAAGTCATGGGCCAGTGAGAAAAATAATAGTTTCGCGGCGCACAGTGACTCCCGGTAATTAAAAATTTACCTCTCCCCT